TGCAAAAAGTTACAGTTGTGGAAACACACAAGCGCCAGTCTGCCCTGACCAATAGGGTCACTATGATTTGGAACCGACTCACTGGCAGTGAGTGCTAAATAAAACAAAAGAAAGAAAGAAAGAAAGGGGGATGGAAAATTGGGGAACGTATGGTGTAAAAAAGCCCTGGTAGAAAACAAACAGGCTGAGCAAACGGGAAAACAGAAGTGACAGGAAAACAGACTTTGTCCATCGGTCTTATTCATGACTAAACCAAGCCCACACTGCCATCAAGTCAATTTCAATCAGAGGGACCCTAGAGGTCAGGGTAGCCCAGCTCCTGTGAGTTTCTGAGACTGTAACTCTTTCCAGAAGTTGAAAGCTTTGTCTTCCTCCCTCAGAGAGGCTGGTGGTTTCGAACTGCTGCCCTTGCGGGTAGCAATCCCATCACATAACCGCTCTGCCACCAGGGCTCCTTACTATAAAACAGAAGGTAAATGGATCAATGGGTAATGCATACACAAAATGGATACTTCCCAAGCAAATGTGACCAAGCATGTTGCAAAAAAGGTACTGAATAGGCCTTTTACCATAGTTGTCAAAAATATACAAAGAGTATTATTACGTACTATCTGGAATGACAGACTTAGATATATTTCCAGGGTACTATGGGGGCAGGGAGACTGTGACTCAGGGGACTTTCCTTCTCACAGTTTCTCTGAAAGTGGCACAGATATTAATTTAGCTGTCCTTTGAACAGTTCTGAGCCTTCCAGTAATGAAATACAATATAAATACAATTTCAAATATCCTCAACAAAGTTTGAGAAATGTGTGTGGGGGGGAATACCGGGGGGGGGGCAGTATCTGCAAATATTAATTATTTAGTGGTAGAAGACAATATGGAGAACAGAGAACATTTATTATCCCGAATGTTCAAATGGTCGTATTTATTTCAGAACTTTTAGTTGGCTAAATAATATGGGTTAGCCACCAGAAAACGAAAAATAGCATATGAAACTCATAGACCAGTGAAGGGAAAAAATAAGGACAATGAGAACTTAAGAAAAAGCACAAGGAAACATTTTTAAAAACCAGCACAAAGCCAGGGGTATAACCACACTTATTGGGGATCACAATAAAAGGAAAGAGATTATCCTATGCAGAGAATGTTGCACAAGTAGGGCGCGGAAAGGAAAAAAACAAACTCCAACTACAGGTTGTTTACAAGAAATCTCATAAGCAAAAAATGTCATCCCGTCACCCACCATCTGTCAACTCAATTCTGACTCACAGCGATCCTCCACACAGGGCAGATCTGCTCCATATGGGTCCCGAGGCCGTACATCTTTACTAGGACAGACAGCTTTGCCTTCCGCCCACAGAGCGGCCAGTTAGTTCGAACCACTGGCTTCTTCTGTTAGCACACTGCTCAACCCACTGTCACCGAAGGGTTTAAGTGTAGGGCTAGGACTTCCTAGTTACAATGCCAAATTGCATTTGGGCATTTAAATGTGCTCCCTCCCAAAACTTCACTAAAGGAGAGGATTTTATTTATAGAAATAAGCCTACAGGATGGAGCGTACAGGGAACCAGAACGCAGCTGGGTGACGAGGAGCTGACTCTGCGAGCCCGAAACTCCACACCCGAAGGCGGCAGCAGGAGTCTGAGGACCGACGGACCGACGGCCGGACAGCCACACGCTAGGAACCGAGCAGCTGACAGCAGAGCTAACAGATACGGTCGAGAATGTCTTCCCTCCCAAGAGGGAAAGGATGAAGACGAAAACAGCAGAGGCTCGGCCTAGGAGGGGTCCAAGCCATTTACACAGATCTTCAGCGACAGGAGGGGCAGCACCGCTCAGTACTGTGACTCCCTCCCAAAGCGCTCAGGAACTGAAGGGCGGAGAAGAGCTTTGCAGGGGAAACTTGACGGACACTACTTCATCCAGGTGACCACGGCCAATATCAATGTCAAGGGCAGTCTCAATGAGGCTGATAGTGTACACCCTTCATAGAGGATGAAAATGACACTCAACAGCTTAAACTTTCTTCCTCCAAGCCTGGAGGCCCGTTCTGATCATGAGAAAAACCGCAGATAAATTCTTGAGGCATATCTTACAAACACCGGACCCCTCAAATCAAATGCAAACGCTCACACCGGAAAGGTCCACACCGTGGCCAGTCTGAGAAACTGTTAAAAAAAAAACAAGAGGCATCTAAGGAGGCCTGAGTAGATGGGACCTGAGTAGATGGGATAAAAGAAACTATGTAAAACACTAAGACACCCCCATATACTGTGGACTTGAGTGAATAATAATGTATCAATCTTGATTCAGCACATGGACAGGGAGCTGACAGTTTCAGGAACAAGAAATATCACAGCTGACTTCAGCTGGATCTTGACTGAGAGCAGAACACCAGAAAGATATCTACTTGTATTTTATTGACTATGCAAAGGCATTCGATTGTGTGGGTCCAACTATGGGCAGTTTGAGGAGAATGAGGATTCACAGAACCTGTGTGTGGGCCAAGATGGCCATTGTTTGACCAGACCACGGGCTGAGATGTGGGCCAGGGTGTTCCCTCTCCCCAGATGTCTTCAATCTGTACGCTGAGCAAATCATCGGAGCAGCGAGAGGAAGGCTTCCTAACACAGAAGGGCAGCCCCTCCACAAGATGGACTGAACCAGCGGCTATCAAGAGGGCTTGAACATAACTGGTGAGGATGGCGCGGGACCAGGCAATGTTTGTTCGATTGCACTTAAGTTGGAACTGACAGGACAGCACCTAACGACAATCAATCAATATCAATTCATTAATTGTGATAAAGGTACCATACCAGCGTACGACGTTAATAAGGGAAACTGAGCGCGGAGTAAATAAGAACTCTGTACTATCTTCTTAACTTTAAATACAAATCCAGAACTGTTCTTAACAACTCACTGCACGCTCACCACCACTATACAGACAGATCCACCCCGAGGCATGCCCTGATTTCAGAGCACTGGAGACAGGATGAGCCCCAAGGGCCAGTCACACAGAAAGCATTCAAAACTTGAAGGACAAATATTTCCAAACCATAAATGTATATCCAACCAGTCTATAAAGAACTACAAGGGTAGCACTGACACATTTTCAAATGTGCAAAGTCTCAAAAGCTCAAACTCCAAAGAACAATTCTAGGAAAGTACTGAGGGATGCGCTGCACCAAAACCAGGGATTAAGTAACCAGGAGACCCCATGCTGGAGAGTTTACGGGAAGCCACAGGAGGTTGGTCCTGGCTTGACAGCAGGGCTCCAAGGCAACAAGCAGTCTAGACTGGAGCACTGCAACGGAAGGACAAGCAGCTAGGGGCTGCCATCCCCACACATTCAGTTGCTGCAGCACGGCTTTCCCATGCGCCAGCACAGCCGAGGTGTGCTCCAATAGAACAAGGGAGAACACCAGGAGAAAGGTGCAAGCCCTAAGCAGAAAGACAGACCTACGTAAATGGAGTCCAACCCGAGAGACAGAGAGATCGGGCTGACCTCACAGCTAAGTCTGACAGCTGTGCAGAAGGTCTAAAGAGCAACAAGCCCAGAGGTGTCTGGAGGCTTCCCAGAGGAAGACAAGAACCAGTAGATGACCTGATATGAGTGAGCCAATAAAAAATTGTATTGACTCTCAGAAGGTCAATACAATAGTGAGAACTAGCAATAGTTACAGGGGCGCGCACGTGCACACACACACACACACGAAAGATTCGCCTCCATGAAAAAGGAGACAAGTATCCAAAAATCTCACTGGCATCAAGTCAATCCCAACCCATAGTGACCCTACAGGAGAGTGCAGAATTGTCCCTGTAGGTTTCTGAAACCATGGCTCTTGAAGGCAGTAGAAAACCTTGCTATTCTCTCAAAAAGCAGTTGGTGGTTTCAAACTGCTGACCTTTCAATTAGCAGCCCAATGTGTGTAACCACTACACTACCAGGCTCCTCAGAGACCATCACAGTGTACTACAAGACCCAATTATGAACACATTCTGGAACAAAATTATAAAAAACAGTGATGTAACTGAAAATTGCAGTGTGCCTATAGGTGATGATGGTAGGGAGGAGGGGGACGACCCAGAGGGGCTCTCACCTGTCATGATAGTCAACAATGTCTGCAATACACCCGCATATAAAGACAGCAGCGTCCGCATAATATTTAAAAACAAAACAACTCTGAAATATATATGACAGAAGGTATCATTAAAAGAATTTAGACAGACTGCATACAGAAAAAGGGACTTGTGGAAGTGGGGAGAGGTAGGGAACTGATATATTTTGCTATAAAACCAAACTCACTGCCACGTCTAAAACTGTGATTGAAAAGCCCTACATATGTTCACGTACCTTGATGAAACTACAATTAAAGTAAAATGAAAACTAGGACTGAAATTCGTGACACCGTGTAAAAACAGCATGGGGCACTCCTGACCTCCCTGATGCCCCCAAGGAGGAGGAGAATCACACTGCACACCAGCCCCAGGCTGACTCCTGTGAGGTGGAGGTCAGGTAGGCCTCCACCTCCAGCCTCCCTCCCACAGCATTGTTTCTCTGCGGGGTTTCGCAATCCACTGCAACAGCCACCCAGAACTCACACCGTCCTTACCATTATGGGGTTAGCTCAGGAAGCGAACAGGTTACCATTTAGGGCCAGAGAGGCAGTAACCCTCTTCTTGCCTGTGCCCAGAACATGTCTCGGGGAGCGTGAACACACGAGCTTCTACTCCAGGAAGGAGTTGCAGTCTCGGAAACCCACAGGGGCAGGTCTACCCTGGCCTGCAGGGTCGCTGTGAGCTGGCATCGACTCCAGGGCTGTGGTGAGACGAGTCCTAACAAGAACACCTCTGCCTCCCAGTCACTGGTCCTTTGGGCTCTGTCCTGCTCAACAGAGGTTTAAAAGCTCCTTTTACAAACCAACCAGAATAGAAATGAGGAGAATATTGACGCCTGGTGAAAAACATAACCAATGTGAATGAACAGTATTTTCCAAAATGGTTAAATATGGACCCAATTTGCTTTGTAAACTTCCATTAAAAACACAAAACTGCTTTTCCGGCGCTGACGACCGCCCGGCCATCAGGCCTCTCGCAAAGGACCTCCTTCATCCCTCTCCCGAAGAGAAGAGGAAACACAAGAAGAAGCGCCTGGTGCAGAGCCCCGATTCCTACTTCGTGGACGTCAAATGCCCAGGCCGCTATAAAATCACCACGGTCTTCAGCCAGGCACAAACAGTCGTTTCGTGTGTTGGCTGCTCTACTGTCCTCTGTCAGCCTGCAGGAGGAAAAGCAAGGCTCACAGAAGGATGCTCCTTCAGACGGAAGCAGCACTAAAAGACCCTGAATGGAGATGAGTGGAAAGCCATTCTAATAAACCCATTTTGGATACAAAAAAAAACAAACAAACACAAAACTATACCTAAAATTAAATTCACTCATAAGCGGGGAAGAAAGATGGGCTGAGATTGGAGTATGTCCTCAGACCCTGAGATCCATGGGCATGGGGCCTCCTCAGTCCAGACAAGACAGCCGTGACCACTGAGAGAGGTGGCCAAGATGTTGCAGCGGAGCTGCAGTAACAGAGCCAGGCGTCCGAGCATGAAAGGCACCAGGTGGTTCCCCAGCGCAGGCAGTGAGCAAAGTGGAGTGTCTTCAGACAGAAGCTCATTTGTGGAGTGGGGTACTTCCAGGTACTTAATTGGGGAGTTAGTTTTGCTTGCACACAGAACTAGAATTGAGCACCTTTTGGCTTACTTATACTTATGGTAGAACGGCATGCCTTTTGGGAATTTATTGGCATCTTCAAAAGAGCTTTGTAATATTGCTTGAGTGGGGCAGAGACCAAAGGCCGTGTGGCTAAGTCAAAGACCAGAGGGAGGCCTGACTGTGGGCATGGATACAAAGAGGGCATACTGACCAACAGTGTCTTGAGCATTTTTTACTCAGAATTGTAACCTGTTAATGCTCCTAAGAAAGCTCCTAATTGTGAGTCTGGTCTGATTTTTTTTAAAAAGCAGCAGCTCCTTTAACATCGCTGGTAAATGCCCAAACAGCACACCACTCCACTTAAAGGAGCCTCGGCCAGGAGGTGTTCAGCTCCAGCTTCAGGGGTCTGCGAATCTAACTCCCTGGATCAAGTGTCTGTAGGGACCCCACTCCACAAACAAGCCTCCTGCCTGGAAGCACTCGCTTCGAAGCCACTCCTCTGCTCTCTGGGGTCATAGCTGTCTCCTGGATGGAGGTGTGCAAGCTCCACCCCTGGCCCTTTCCTTCATGGTAGGGAGAGTGGCATTCCTGCTTCAGTGACACCTCATTTTAAACCCAGAGGAGGACAAGATGCAGCAATGCCCACATTAGCGTATCATACACCCTATTTGCCTGGTCCTACCGTGTCATTTGGTAGGAGTTACAAAGACTATGTATGGCTTGAAGAGCCATAGTAAGTATTCACAGCACCACAGTCAATCGTGGACTTGGAAAATTATTTGCAAAACATCTGACCATGTTTGTATTCAAACTATGCAAAACACTCCTAAAACTCAACAAGAACACCCGATTACAATGTGCACTGAAGAGATGAACAGAAACCTTAACAAAGAAGGTATCAAACCAGATCAAACTCACTGCCATTGAGTCGACAAGGAATCTTAGCAACTCTATAGGACAGGGCAGAACGAAACTGTAACTCTTCATGGAGTAGAAAGCCCGGTCTTCCTCCCACAGAGCAATGGGTGGTTTCAAACTGCTGACCCTGTGGATTGCAGTCCAGTGCATAACCACTACGCCACCAGGGCTCTTAGAGAAGATATACAGATGGCACATATGCCTGTGAAAAATGTCATTTTGAGGCACCTTAGTGTCAGTCCCTGATGCACGTTGACCCAGTACACAGGAGAGAATCACTGTGAACCACAGGATTTTCATGGGCTGATTCTGTGCATATCATCCACCCAGCTCTTCTTCCAGGTTCCTCTTAGACTGGAAGCTCTGCTGAAACGTGTTCAGCATCACAACCAGCCTCCATGACAGATGGTGGCTTCACTTATAGCCACGGTAGGGACTCACGAACCGTGATAATTTATAAATTATTATTTTGTCTTGTTTTATACTGTCCGACGTCTCCCTTCACCCACTTTTCTATTGTCCGTCTCCCAGGGAGGGGATTATATGTAGATCCTTATGATTGGTTCCCCCTTTCTACCCCACCTTCCCCTTACCTTCCTGGTATCGATACTCTCATTATTGGTCCTCAGGGGTTTATCTGTTCTGGATTCCCTGTTTCCAGTTCCTATATGCACCAGTGTACATGCTCTGGTCTAGCTGGATTTGTAAGGTAGAATTGGGATCATGATAGTGAGGGGGGCGGGTACATTAAAGAACTAGAGATAAGTTGTATGTTTCATCATTGCTACCCTGCACCCTGACTGGCTCATCTTCTCCTCGTGGCCCTTCTGTAAGATGTCCAGTTGCCTACAGAAGGGTGCTGGGTCTCCATTCAACTCTGCACTCCCCTTCATTCACAATGACGATTTTTTGTTCTTTGATGCCTGATTCCATCGATACCTTGTCATCACACAGGATGGCGTGCTTCCTCCATGTGGGCTTTGTTGCTTCTCAGCTAGATAGCTGCTTGCTTATCTTCAAGCCTTTAAGACCCCAGACGCTGTAACTTTTGATGGCCGGGCACCATCAGCTTTCTTCACCACATCTGCTTACGCACCCACTTTGTGGAAGGCAAGATTTCTACCACTGACTTACCACTGCATCCTCACGTGTCCTTGCTGCTGGGTGCCACTGAGTAGATTCCGACGCACAGTAACCTGACAGGACAGGGGAGGTCTGTCCCCTATGGTCTCCAAGGTTGAACTTCACGGGAGTAGACAGACTCCCAGAGGTGGAGGTAGATTTGAAACACCAACTTTTGGGTTAGTTAAGCATTCAAGCCCCTGAGTCACTCGGGATTGCAAATCAAAACCACATAGGACACTTCTATACACTTCTGGTTGTTGTTAGGTGCCCAGAGTCGATTCTGACCCGTAGTGACCCAGTACACAACAGAATGGAACACTGCCTGGTGCTGGGTCCTCCTGTTCCTACGCTTGAGCCCAAATTGCAGTCACTGTTGTCAATCCATCTTGGTAAGGGCCTTGCTCTTTGCTGCTACCCCACCACTTTACCAAGCATGATGTCCTTCTCCAGGGATTGGTCGCTCCAGATAACAACTGTCTCCCCTCACTAACCTTGCCTCTAAGGAGCACTCTGGGTGTACTTCTTTTGGTAGTTCCTAGTACTTTAATTATTCTTCAGCAGCACCTTAATATAAATGCATAAATTCCTCTTAAGTCTTCCTTATGCAGCGTCTAACTTTGACATGCATATGCGGCAATGGAAAATAACGACTTAAGTAAGGCTCACCTTTGACTTCAAAGTAATATCCTTGCTTTTCAATACTCTAAAAGAGGTCTTGTGCAACAGACTGACCCACTGCAAATCAAATCGTCTTTTGATCTCTTGACTGACGCTTCTATGAACACTGCTCGTAGATCAAGGCAAGACAAAATCCTTGATAACTTCAACCTTTTCTGTTACGTATTGGTCCGGTTTTGAGGACTTTGGTCTATTTTACATTGAGTTGTAATCCATACGGAAGGCTGTAATCCTTGATCTTCATCAGCAAATGTTTCACATCCTCCTCATTTTCATCAAGTAAGATGTGTCTGGATATCACAGGCTGCTAATAATCCTTCCTGATGTCACATTCTTCTTCATGTAATCCAAGTTCTCTGAGGATTTGCTCACATAGATGGAATAAATGTGGTGAGCGGCTACAACCCTAACGCACACCTTTCCTGATTTTATTTTTGTTTTCCCATTAGTGAATGCACACACAGCTCTCCCCTCCATTTGAAAAACAAACCCAGATCCAAATCCACACCAGCCCGCTAGTCAACACAGATTCTTAAATACTCCCCATCTTTAGTGAAACTGTCTTCAACACCAAGCGTTTTCATGTTATTAATTTTTACTGCAAAAACACTAAAAGTAGAAAACCAGTCTAACTCATCATAGACCAGAACCTAGATTCAGGTGGAGTGTATTAGAGGGCTGTTTCCTGCATGGTTTGCCTCCTCGGTCACTGTCCACGGGACTCTGAGAAGCTGTAGGAATATGCAGGCGCAGACTCAAGGCCCGGCTTGATCTCCGACGCTGTGGAAAAGGACTGTACATCACCGGGCACTGAGCCCTGTGCTCCTCCATGCCACCGGGACAGAGCCCAGAGCGTGTGACCTCCAGGAGTATCCACATCGGGATTTCTTGCCTTTTTTTTTTTTTTTTACTGGGGGCTCATACAGCTCCTATCACAATCCATACATCCATGCAATGTGTCAGGCACATTTGTACATTTGTTGCAGTCATCATTTTCAAAACATTGTCTTTCTACTTGAGCCCTTGGTATTAGTTCGTTTTCCCTGCACCCCCATCCTCCCTCCCTCATGAACCCTTGATAATTACACACACACACACACATACACACACACACGCTTTTCTCATGTCTTACACTGACCACTATCTCCCTTCACTGGGATCTCCCGATTTTAAAGCATGCAAAATTCTCTTGTTCTGCTCACAAACGCCTCTTGACCCACATGCAGACTCCTCATGAGCAAGATCAAGTGTTCTGGAATTCCTATCCTTTTCAGGCTATCAATCCATCATTTGCGATGCTCTACAGAGTCGAATGCCTTGCCTCTTAAGATGCCTACACCTAATGTGATGGGTAAACCCAAACCACGGACCACACCAAAGCTGGCCAGGCTGTAGAGCAACAGGAACTGTCAGTCATTGCTCGTGGGAATGTAAACTGATTAGGTCACTTAAAAAGACAGGCTGGCAGTTTCTAACAAAACTAAACATAGGTTTGCTATATGATATAACAATTGTGCTCCCACTTATAATCTGATAAGGTAAAAATCTATGTCCACATAAAAGCATACATGAAATGTTCATAAAAGTTTATTCAAAAGTGCCCAAAACCAGATGCAACCAAACTCTAAAAACAAACTCACGGAGTCATTTACAACTCTTAGCAACCCTACAGGACAAAGCAGAACTGACCCTGTGGGTTTCCGAGGCTGAAAATCTTTATAGAGGAAGAAAGCCTCACCCTGCTGCCCTTGGAGAGTCTGATGGACTTGAACTGCTGACCTTGTAGTTAGCAGCCCAGCTAGTAACCCACTAGGCCAGTAGGACTCCTCAAGAGCTGCCAAGATGTCCTTAAATAAGTGAATGGGTAAGTACATGGTGGTTGTTTTCACACATAATGGAGCATCAGCCAACAGTGGGGGAAAGAGGTGATCAAGCCATGGAAGAACCTTAAGTGCCTATTTCACAGTGCAGGGCACCAGTCTGGACAAGTTACATACTGGATAATCCCATCTCGATGTCCCTGCATACGGCACAGAAGACACCCGCGGTTGTCAGGGGGGTTCTAGCAGTGGGCCGGAGTGAACAGGAACACAGGGGAGTTCTATATGACACGCTCATGGGGGACACAGGACGCTACACAGCTACACAACTCCAATTGTGACCCCAATGTAAACTCTGGCCTTCTGTTGATGGCATTTAGATTGGTTCATCACTGGAACAAAGGAACCACAGGTGGGCAAGGTGCTGGAAACGGTGCTGGGGGAAGGCGACATGGGATAAGGCCCTTTCTGAATCGTGGGTCTGTAAACCTAACCTAAACCTGCGCGGAAAAAAATAAAGCCCATTAAGAAACCTCACTAGGTAAATAATAAGCAAGAAGTGCCTATATTTTCAAAGTAGAACTCAAGGCCAAAAACAGGCATTAGATGGGAAAGTTTCTATTCATAAAAGGGTTGTACGAATCAATTAAAAAGGTTATGTAACCAGCCGTTGATTCTCTTTACCTGAATGTGTTTCTGCAAAAATTTAGAAAAAGCTGGCAAGAGTGAAGGCATGGTTTTCCCCCAGAGACTGTCTATATTTGTCATTGTCCTATTGAAATTTTCTATTTCTTCTTGGGTTACTTCAGGTAAAATGTATCTACCTAGGAATTTACTTATTACATATATGTTATCTAAATTACTGGCATAGTTTTCATAGTGTCCCTTCATAATCTTCATTATTCCGTTACGTGGTTAGCAATGTTGCTTGCTTTAGATCTTTTCTTTGAATCTTTCTTTTTTACTGTCAGGCCAAAGATTTTCCTTTTTCTTTTTAAAGAATCAATTCTTTTTGTTAGTTTTTTTTGGACTTAACAATCAATTCTACTGTTTCCTCTCCCCTCTATTCCCCCACCCCAGAAAGTCACGTTACAAGCCTGAAGTTTAAATCATTGAGGTCTCTGAAAGTGCCTACAGTTAATTTTTATGACAGGAGAGTTTAAAATTACTGTAATTAATGATATAAAAATCTATAACGTCCTAAAATAATTTTCTGGTTGTTTAAAAAAAAAAGTTATGTATTTTTATACTTCCAGTAGCAAAGAATTAAAATATATATAGTAACTGTTATTGCAAACAAGATGTTTATTAATTACAAAGAGGAAAACAGTAACTTTCAGTGAAGAGAACACTACTGGAGTTCATGGCACCCGTTGTAAGGCAAGTCAATATCCTGCAGCCTTCAGTCTGAAGGACTCCCACAGTATTCAAGCTAAAAATGTTCACTCCGTGTAGTCTGGGGAAATCCTGACACAAACACTACCTGTGATGTATCAGCTCCTCTTTTCCCTACCTCCCCCACCTTCCCCGCCTCGTGCACCCTTGATAAGTTATTGTTATTTTCATACCTTACACTGCCCGCTGTCTTCCTTCATCCGTGATTCTGTTGTTTGTCCCCCTAAGGGGGTGGAGTTTGGGGTGTTATATGTTGATCAATGCAATCAGTTTCCCCTTTCACCCCCCACCTTCCCCTTACCCTCATCGTTACTCCCGTTACTGTTCCTGAGGGGTTATCTGCTTGGATTCAAAGTGTTGAGGTCTCCTATCTGTATCAGTGTACATGCTCCGGTCTAGCCGGATTTGTAAGGTAAAACTGGGTCATGATGGGGAGGTGGGGGACAGACGGACAGGAAGTTCTGATGAACCCTGAAAGTACTGTGCCAAGAGATGTTAGTTACAAAGGGAAAAATAATGCATAATCTCACTTACAGGACATAGGCAACCCTACAGGAACCAGAGATTAATTCTAAGTGCTTACCAAAGGTAACCAGGGTAATAAGTATGAGGGAACAAGGGCATGTGGAGGTCATCTTCTGGGTGGTGGGATGCTTTGGAAACGATAACAAGATTAGAAAAGGATAATAAGAATAGCTGCACTTAAGAGAATGAAATAAGTGTTACAAAACTGGACATTTAGAAACTATTAACATGACATGTTCCATTTACTGTGTCTGTTTTAAGTGCTATTTTCACATGTATTTATTTTGTTAGTGTTCTTTAATGTGGTGCATTTTTACAATTTTTAAAAAATCAATGTAATCTGGACACCTGTTCACTACAACACTGTTCACAATAGCCAAGAGGTGGAAACGGCCTAAATATTCATCAAAAGACAATGGATAAGCAAAATGTGAAATGCACATGCAACAGAGTATTTCTCAGCCATACAGAGAAATGAATTCCTGATACATGCTAGAGCACAGCTGACGAATCTTGAGAACATTATGATTACACTGAGTGGAGTCAGTCAATTACAAAAGCACAAATATTGTATGACTGCTATAAAACAGGCAAGGACACGTGCAGACACAGTCTATCAGTGGTTACCAGGGGCTGAAGTGTGCGCTGTGAGCAAAACCGCAGCATGTTTGACTGAGTCAGCACTGTTTTCATCCTGGATTCTAGAATTTATCTTCCTGTACTTCCTACCCTTTATGTACTCACAGTGCCTTATGGCTTTTGTAGCCTGACATGTACTGTATAAATTACAGCCCATATACACATGCTTAGTAAAGTTAGAAGAAATCATCATGAGTATCACCTGAGAAAGTAAAATCATTTGAGTGTCCACCAAACAGCCATGTTGCTGGAAAGAGTCCATAGGCTAGCCTCCTGATAAAATTCCGCCTTCTCTGGGAGTGATTATTGACAGGGGTTCAACTGCCCTGCCAACCTTCGTGGGGAAGAGGAAAGGAAAGTCACTGTTTGGAGGGGACA